AATCAAAGTGGACTTTTAAATTAAATATCTACAGGTGCAAACGCTATCAAATGGTAAACCTAATCCTTTGACGTGGAACAAACTTGAATATGTGGGATTCAGCTTTTCTGCCACCAAGATGCAAAAGGTCTTCAAATGTGTCAACCCCCAACTTATCTACAACCCCTAGAAAAGGAGGCTTCCTCACGGTATTTGAGATTCTTTTTCTACCACGTGGGAGAATAGAGAGAAGCCCAAGGCAGGCTAAGCCAGGTGTGGTGGTTCACATCTGTAAACCCAGCACTCGAAAGGCAGAGAGAAAGCGCTGCTGTGAGCTCAAGGCCAGTTTGAGCTACAGTTTAAGATTCTGTCTCAGCTTGGTAGTGGTGGCACACCCCTTTAATTCCAGGACTCAGGAGGCAATGGCAGTGGAGCTCTGATTTCGAGGCCAGCCTAGTCTACAGAGTGAGTTCCAGGACAGCGAGGGTTACACAGAGAAATCTTTTCTCAAAACAAACAAGAAGAGATCCTTTCTCAAGACAAAACATGAAAGATGAGTTAGCTTCCTCAGTCTCTTCTATTTGTAAATAGCCCAAGGCAGAAAGATGTCTGCCATGTAATGTGTAGTTCGTGTCTTTCCTTTTTGACACCCCTGGGGGTGCAGAGTGTAAAGAGGGACTTCTCCTCACCCTCACCCAACCCTTAACTCCCTCACCTCTCACCAACCTCCTGTTCTACCACACTTCAAAAGCAGAGATCTGCTCTCTGAGATCTTTAGACATCAGTGAATTCATCAGCACTGCTTAAAGGAACAGAGCCAGGGCTGGCTTCATGAGAAGCCCTGCCTGGGCAAATGCTCTTCCCTCTGGCCAAGTCTGACTCGGGAATGAAACTGAGAGGATGACCAGTTCTGGCCCGTAGAGCAAAGAGGCCACAGCTATGTGTCAGACATTGCTTTTTAAACAGACTGAAATACTCTGAGGTTTAACCAATAAAACAAAAACCAAGAGAAGAACGTTTATGTTGAGCTATGTAGATCCCCAGGGTTGGGTTTTGCAATCATCCTCCACGCTTTGACTATGGGTGGTAAGTTCTGACATTTTTCTGTAGTCTTCTTGCTAGGACTAATAGTCTCCTCCTGCCCCTGTGGTAGAGAGAAGCCCAAGGGCAGTTGCTGGGAAGCAGGTTGGAGTGGGTGAGAGAGCTCTATAGGTTTGGCTTCTAGAGGTCTGACTCAGCGGGGCAGGCAGGGTGGGCCCAGTCCACACATGCTCTTGGAGAACTGGGTACAGCAATGTTCCTCCCGCCCAGGAGCGGGCCCTGCCTACCACATCCTGGCTCCTTTTCCTTAGACTTTGAAACTTGCAGACAGAACTTGCCGAGCCTGGAACTGTGTGTGGTTGGTAGGTTCAGCCAGGGGCCTTCAGAACAGTCTGGTCCTTGAGGACTGGCTCAGGGTATCCAGAGCTGAGTTCTCACCCCAGAGCATCCCCCACCCTGCTGGGTGAGGTGGTCAGGTACCACCTTCACTAGTACTCAGGGTCACTGTCTGTACAGTAAGTGGGACTTGGTGCAGTGCGTTCAACTTGATTAGACACCCAGATGCTCTGAGCACATGTCTGTATGTGCTCTTGTAACTTGCTCTGCATCTGCTCAGGAACACTGGAGCTCTGTCTGGGCTGCTTGTCCCTCAAAGTTCTCTTGAATCTCTAATGACTTGCTCAAGGGGCCTATGAAGTGACACAGACGGCATATACTTATGGACCACCTTTGTTTCCTATGTGACTCTGGCTATGTGGGGCTGTTACTGTGCGCTGAAGACTGTGTTGTGACTGCCGTGGCAAAGTGGCCGAGACTTAACTGCAGACAGATGGCAACGCATGCGTGTTTATAGCTGTGAAAACACGACAGAGTGTGGCAGTGTGACCAAAGCGTGACTATGGAAGCACAAGGACTCATGTGTGTGAGTGCTGACATGTAACCTTTGGGCAAGCGTATGGCTATGTGCATTTGTGTCTGTTTGTGGCTGTACAACCAAGGGACTGTGTCTAACGCTGCAGCAGTGCCACAGCTATGGCACAGAGATGCACAGCTCTCCTGTATCCTAGACGGGGGCAGGATGCAGGCTATCAGGTCTGCCTCCATCCCCCCGTCTCTACATAGGCACAAAGCAGACTCCTTTTCCAGGGCTGGGCCAAGATTGGGAACCCATGGGTCCCAACCCCCATCCCAGGTTCTGGTAGCTGCTCAGAACAGAAAGGGAGGCCTTGTTTCCCAACCCTCTCAGAGCAAAGTGAGAGAGGAAACTAGAGGCAGCTGGGCCCAGCTCAGTCTGGAACATCTGCCTGGCATGTGACTAAGGCCAACAAGCCCTGTCATCACAGCACACTCCTCCCCCCCAACCCATGCTCCCTCAGTCTCCTGCTGGGGACACTCTGCCCAGCTCAGAACGACCACAAATTCCTCCAGTGCACAGACAGAAACCAGAGACAGGGATTGTGACATTCCCATATACCTGCAACCAGCAAGAGACATTGGTGTTACCTGAAGCAGATCTGGTCTATCTCTAGCCTTTATTTTCTCTTTCTTTTCTTTTTCTTATAGTGTCTCACTAGGTAGACCAGGCTGGCCTGATAGAGATCCATCTGCATCTACCTCTTGAGTGCTGGGATTAAAGGTGTGAGCCACTATATCACATCACATCTGACCTCTAGCCTTCAGATTCTTTCAGATTCTCCTCCCAGGTCCAGGCCCTTTTGAGACCTCACTGTCATGATTACAGGAGAGGGAGCTGGTTCCCTCCCAGCAGAGGGAAATAGTAGGGCAAGGGTATTCCTTAGAGCAGGAAGTGTTAGCAGGGGGCTTTCCAGGCATCATGGGTTAAGAGGAACATTCCAGAGGCCTCAGGAAGGAGCCCTATCCCCACCCACCTCAGAGCCTTCCATACAGAAAACTACATGGAGGTCAAAGCGGAGAAGAGGTTACAAGTGAGACGTCAGTTCCTTTAACAGTAGGAAAATGAAGGCAGGCAGGGAGGGGAAAATTCCTCAGAAAGTCCCAAATCTGACCTAATTTTGGCCTAGAGCCAAGGGGCTCCATTCCAAAAGTTCCTGTGAGGACACCATGGACTAGAAGAGGCCCATTCCTCACCCCTTGCCATGAGTTTCCGAGACTCTGACCTGACCGGAAAAAAACCTTCCTGGTGAACCTGACCCTCGAAAACCCCACCTTGAGCCACACTGCCTCCGAAAGAGGACCGGTTCAGGTTTTTTTCCATTTGTGACTTATGTCCAGGCATCAGGGCATTCTCATGGATACAGAGGTGAGTCTTCTTTGAAGTTCTAAAATGGGACCCACTGCAGAACTGGGCTCCCAAGACTGACCAGTCTCTGCCTCTCCTGTGCTTGACGGGAGCTTTCCAGGGACAGTCCCTAGGACAGGCATCACCTGTGACTGGGTACAGTCTCATTCTCTTCCACAGTTCTCAGCACAAGCCCCTGCACACGACTTTACCCATTTTGGAGATGGGGAGGGGCTGGCATTATGGCTCAGTCAATAATAAAGGGCCTGCAGCATTTAGCATGAGGGCCCAAGTTCAAATCCCTACTATCTACGTAAGTAAAAAGCCAGAACTTAGGCATGACCACACGTGTCTTTAATCACAGAACTGGAAGGCAGAGGCAGATGGATCTCTGACTTTCAGGCTAGCCAAGACTACATATATACCGCTTGCCTGTTGTAATCCCAGCACTGGGGAGGCAGAGACAAGAGGACCCCTAGAGTTCACTGGTCAGTCAGCCTAGCCTAATTACTAAGTTCCAGACCAACAAGAACTCAAAATATTAGACAAAAAGCAACTGAAAACATCCAACGTTGACCTCTGGCCTCAGTGAGCACCTCTCCCAAGTGCATACACACACATACATGAAGACACACATACACGAACATACACACAAACACACACACTGAGGCACAAGCAAATGATGAGGAGGCCCTGGTTGGAAGACACCATGTAACCAGCTGTAGGTGTGGGGTCCTCTACTGCCTCTGACAGCATAGTCCTGTTCCTGTGTTTTTAAGTTACTGTGAATTACGTTTTAGACCTACTAAGATCACCTAATCTAGTCCAGTGGGGCAGTTTGGGTTCTGTCACCCCACTCCCCGGCCCCCGGCAAATCTCAGTGCTTCCAGGATTCAAAAAGAAGAGGCTGTGCTTCTGTTACACTAGTTAACTGTAAAAGGTTTATCAAGAAAAGACTCAAGCAGCAGGACCTAGGAGCAGAACATGGCTCCCCAGGGAGGCGAGGGGAGCAGGGTCACTTTCCCAACCCGCTGCTGGGCCGCACCCATGCCTGAGGGTTACAGGGCAGTGATTCCTGGAGGGTGTAAACATAGGTGGGTGACTGCACAAACTGACCAGTGAGTCTGGCCACACCTGGGGGTTGAGTTCTCAGTTTCTTTCTGTCAGATTTCCCACTGTGCAAGGGGAGTAATTTGAGAAGACCAAGCCACAGAAACAAAGGTGCCTGGACTGTGCTAGGAGAATGGGGAGTTACTGCTGGTAACTTTTGAGAGTTCCCTCCAGAATGGCACCACCAGGGCCCAGTGCTCCCCGGATTGAGCACCTTGAGCCTACAAAGGGGAAAGTTGTTGCATGGTCCCCTAATCAAGGAAAAGTAGGAGGGTCCTTCAACCAAGATATTGCAGAATCCAAGGCCTATAGGAGGGAGTTGGCCTGCAGTCCCTCCTGCAGAGGCATGGGTAGGGCAGGAAAACCAGGGACCACAGAGCAAGGATGGTCCCTCCCCTCTGTCATACAGATCACAACCCACAGAGAGGACACCAAGCTTGCTTTGGGAAAGGTAAGAGGAGGGACCACATAGCTCTTCTGCCCAAAATGTCCTTCCCTCCATTGACTGTCTTTTTGTAGGTCCTTGTAATTCTTCCAGATATTGCTGGAACGTCACCTACTCAGTGAAGTGTCCCCCTCCCCCCCAACCCCCCCCCCCCAACCAGCAGAGTTCTGTGGTCCTTTGAGGAGTTTCCATGAATCTTTGAGTGTCACCTGTCATTCTGCATTGTCTGGTATCCATCTTGAAAAGTAACTTTTCTGGGACAGACAAGTTCCAGCCTTGGTCACCAATGTCTCGGCCAAGGCCACAGCAGTCTATGGAGTCCACGGAATGAACAGGGTGTGGTGGCCAGGTGACGGTGCACTATAGGCTCCAGAGAAGCTTGATCTTTAGGGACTGACCAGCAGTCCAGGCTTTGGCTCAGAGGACTATTCATCCATCTCTAAAGTCAGGGAAAAGAACTCCAGGGATACCAGGACTTATCAAAAGTCCCTTGTCTTCTCCTAGAAAGAACAGGCCACTCACCTCACCTGCCTTGGGCACCAGAGCCACTGCTAATGACAGGAGTGGGGTGGACAGGTGGGAAGAGGCCCTGCATAGCTGGTTAGCGTCTGTCAGAGGTGGTCATACATGCGGAGGGTCTTCTCCAGCTGCTGGCCTACCCGCTGGTAGAAAAGGATCTGCTGGCGCAGGTAGCTTTGCATCATGTGCTTGAAGTCGAGCTCACGGCGCTGGTGGAAGTGGTTCATTTCGGCCTGCAGGGCGAAACCTACCACACGGCAGCGCCTGCGAATGCCATCTGCCTCTTCCTGAGCCATGCGGCCCTCGTCACTCATTCGCTGGCTTTCCTTCACCTTAGCAAAGGCACCTGGCAGGACAGAGCACAGGATGGGCAGGTTAAGGGCTTGGATCTCCCCTGTCCATTCTCTGTATATCCCTATAGTCCCACAGGGTGAATGATAGCCGTATCGGCTCCATTAAGGACTTCACTCATGAAGCCACCTGGCTGTCTCCATCAGAACATCACAGGTCTCGCTGTCTCCTATTTCAGTCTTGGTCTCACGCTCCCAAATAAAGCCTTCCCTGTGCCCTCTGACCTCTGAGACTTCCCGATATCTTCTGTCTTACTTCTCACACTCCGGCTGGCTGTCCCTGAGTTGTGAGCTGGGGTGAGTTCAAGGACTGTCATGCTCCTCTGTGTTCCACAGTTCTTACAAGGCCTGGCCCAGGCAGATGTAGACACATCTGCTGAGATGATTCATCTCATCTCTGAGTTGCTATGACAATGACATCTCCCTGACTTGAGAGTCTATCTCATAGTATCCAAAGATATTTCCTAAACTGGATGCTGCGCCTGGCTCTTCACTGCCTGCACATGACAGTCCACACCCGGTCCCCTGCCTAAGAGGCCTCTGGGAGTTGGCTCTTGCACGTGTGACTTCCACAATGACACCATGTCCACCCAACCCACCCAGTTCTTTCCTGTCTTACCCATGCCTGCTGGATCCCTATCCATAATTCAAGGCCTAGATCAGGTTCCACTTCTACACCAAATTCTCCTCAGTGCCTCAGGCAGGATGCCTCCCAATACGCCTGCCTCCAGCCTGTTGTCATACTGCTGATTCTAAAAGAATACTTCAAAAGGCCACCTGGTATGTCTCCCTTACATACAATGGCTGCCCACTCCTCACCTCTGCCCCCACAGAACCAGAGACTGTGGAGATAAGTAGGCAACAGATGGTGATAGAAATGGATAAACCTGAGCAGGGGGCTTAATCTGGGAGAATTGGGATGAATCTACAAACAGTTAATGAATTCGGTTTTGAAATAAAGGCACTAAGAAGTTGCTAAGAAGACAAAGCATTGTGTCAGTGCCTGGCACTCACTCTTCAAGGGACAAAAGGGAATCCCCAGTGCAAGGATTCCCTCCATCCTTTTCCTTTTGTTGGTTGTTTTAAGATTTGCTTCATTTTTGCATGTTGCACAGAAGGATGTCTGCATCTGAGTGCCACTGCAGGCCAGAGACACTGGCTCCCTCTAGCCCCCTGGAGTCACAGGCAGTTGTGAGCTGCCTGACATGGGTGCTGGGAACTGAACTTAGGTCCTCTGTAAGAGCCGCACGTGTGTTAGCCACGGAGCCAGCCCTTCTTTAGTATTCTTAAAATTTACTATTAAAATCTTTCATTTTGTGTGTATGTTTGCCTACACATATGTCTATGCATCGTGTGCATGCCTGGTGCCATTGGAGGCTAGCACACAGCACAAGATCCTCTGGAAATGGAGTTACAGACAGTCGTGAGCTGCCATGTGGGTGCTGGGAGTTGTATCCAGGTCCCTGGAAGAGCAGCCGGTGTTGAGCCATCTCTCCAGCCCTTCTTTTGCTTTGTTTTTTGTTTTGTTGTTGAGACAGGATCTCATGTAGACCAAGCTGATCTCAAACACATGCCTTCCTATACTTTGTTTATGTGATACTGAAGATTGAACCCAGGGTCTTGTGCATGTTCCACAAGTACTCCACCAAATAAGATCCAGCCCTGGCCCACAATACTTCTTCTGTTCAGTCCTCAAGTTGCTAGTAACGTTCAAATGCACTTTCAAAGTGCATTTCAAAGTTCAAAGGCAGCTAGGCCTTTCCTAGCTGCCAGTGCTCTGCATGCTGGAAATAACTCCAGAAGCCTTTATCAGGGACACCATCTCTACCAGTCAGCAAGAGCAGCTAATACCTCAAGTTTGGAGAGAGATACTTCCACAGTACCCCAAATCTGTAACCCCCAGCTTTAATGTCACTCAGGCCTCTGACACCTTCCCTCAGTTACCACCTGCCACCTGGTCCACACTGATGGTCCAACCCTGGCCACAGGAGGGAACACAGGAAGAGATTGTAGACCTGGAGAGATTCTCAAGGGCAGCTGTTCAGTCTCATCGTGATGACTATTTTAAGAGGAAACTAAGGCCGGGCAATGGTGGCGCACGCCTTTAATCCCAGCACTTGGGAGGCAGAGGCAGGTGGATTTCTGAGTTCGAGGCCAGCCTGGTCTACAGAGTGAGTTCCAGGACAGCCAGGGCTACACAGAGAAACCCTGTCTTGAAAAACCAAAAGAAG